TGAGTGATCTCTTAATTCAGTTTCTCGTGTACTGTTAAAAGTGAGAAAATATAAATGCTAATATTGATGTTTGGTCTACAGTAAATTTCTAGTCAAGATATGGAAATATCCGAAACATTAACGAGTAATTCGTGATGTTTTACTTCACTTCAAAAGACCAACTAATAAGTGACCTTCCAGGTAAATCATTAAATGTTTTGTCAGTCGAAATAGTGGTCATACTAGATCATCAGATTTCTACAAAGGATTTCAGGAACCAAAAAAATATCCGAACCAACGAGGAATGCTGTTTTTTTTATGTCTTTTTAAAAAAAGAGAAAAAGAAAAAGAAAGCAGCTCCTGACCTTAACAAGGATGTTTCTCTCAGCAGCGTCTCTCATCCCGATATAGTTCAAATCCATCTCTACAGAATTATCACAGGACCCGGGTAGGATTTCAGCCTGAAACAAACAGGTGGCGTCTCTTTTAATGAAATGACTTTCCTGGGGCCTCTTTAACTTTAATTTTTCACTAATCAGATTGGTCAATCAGGTAAATTCATGTTAAATCTGATTATGACAATGTAAATTGTAGAAACGTTGTAAAGTTATTTAATTTGACATTATAGTGAAACGAGATTTTATAGAATGAAAATAAACAAATTAGATTATAACAAAACCTACGATAGCTGTAATGGGAAGTTCTCCGATTTCTGTTGGTACAATATAATATTTGGTTGTATGACTCTTTCCACCACATAAACAGAAAGGTTTATTCTGATATGATCCTTGTACTATTTCTATACCACCCCATAAATTTAACTTTATTTCCATCTAAAACAAATAAATCATCAAATTATTGCAACAATTTTAGGTTTTTAACGTCAATCGTCAATATATGGAGTTGAGGGATGAATCTTAACAGAGAGAGGAGTTGTATAGACACTTAAATTAGCCATTTTATAAAAGATTATTATACAAAATTATTATTATAGAAATGTTCTAGATTATAGAAATGTTCTAGATTATAGAAATGTTCTAGATTATACGTGTAAAATAATCTAGAATATGGTACATATTTTTACTTCATCAACTTTAATGGTTTTAAAGGGACAGGTATGCCATTTTGGGAGTTGATTTGAGTCTTGATTACATTTCAATAGTCTACAGAAGTACTAGAATTGTACAAATATCACATAATTCCTTCTCAAACTATGAATTTCTTTTCCTATTTCTATAGATGTCTTTTCTATGTACGGCTCTTCTTTTGTACTTGCAAACGTGGATAAATCTGGACAAACATGTATTTGTAGGTTCAAATTTCGACTGTGAGCCGTGAACTCTATTGCTGATTGACTTAGCTCAAAATTTAAAATTAAAGGATGGCGCATCTATCACTTTTGACCGGACATATCTATCTATAGAATCAACTTAGTACCTACCAATAGACATTTCTCCAGATAGTTAAAAACAGTTACTCTGATAGGAATTCTCTCGCCTCGTACTGCCGAGTAGGGTAGGGTGAAAGACAGGAAGAAAGGTTGAAATGTTATTAAAGAGGCAACTGGTGATAAACCGAAGCCAACATCAGGATTAGTACATAGAGTATTCCCCTGCCATTTAGTCACGGTATGTGGAGCTTCAGTTATTTTCTGTAATTTACCAGTTTCACTGTAAAACATAAACATGATATATATTCTTTCTGAAGGAATATTAGCTGTATGAACCGAGATACCGAGTTGATAAACCCTGTCGCACACTGGCCCGTAGTCAATCTTGGTCGCAGTGGGGCAATTCTTCTTTATACCCCTGTCGCACACTCGTGTTTTTTTCTTTAACTCGAACGCTAATTAAATTAAGTTTTTGATTTGATATGGAATTTGCAAGAGAAAATTTTTTTTAGAATTAATAAAGAACAAACATAAAAACATAAAGAGTAAAACAACATTCCAATCAAGAAAACGTCGACATCTCCAATCAAGAAAACGTTGACATTTCCAATCAAGAAAACGTTGACATTTCCAATCAAGAAAACGTCGACATTTCCAATCAAGAAAACGTCGACATTTCCAATCAAGAAAACGTTGACATTTCCAATCAAGAAAACGTTGACATTTCCAATCAAGAAAACGTCGACATTTCCAATCAAGAAAACGTCGACATTTCCAATCAAGAAAACGTCGACATCTCCAATCAAGAAAACGTCGACATCTCCAATCAAGAAAACGTTGACATTTCCAATCAAGAAAACGTTGACATTTCCAATCAAGAAAACGTCGACATTTCCAATCAAGAAAACGTCGACATTTCCAATCAAGAAAACGTTGACATTTCCAATCAAGAAAACGTTGACATTTCCAATCAAGAAAACGTCGACATTTCCAATCAAGAAAACGTCGACATTTCCAATCAAGAAAATATCGAAAGTAGCTGACGGGTCAATTGGGAAATTATCATTAGATCAAAATAAAAACATTTCTTGAATTTGTCACATTGTTTTGAGTTTCATCATAAAAATTATTAGTTAGAAATATAATAACCGAATCTAAAAAAAACATGTTGTTACTCAGAGTTTCACGCTATGTGATCTCCAGACAACTGACCTATTTTCAGCCCGCGTCCCTATTTTGACAGTGAAATTAGTTTATTATTGTAAAGATATTATATACATGTCAATTTTATAATTTATAATATCAGAATATTATTTAATAGATGTCAATTTTATAATTTATAATATCAGAATATTATTTAATAGATGTCAGTTTTATAATTTATAATATCAGAATATTATTTAATAAATGTCAATTTTATAATTTATAATATCAGAATATTATTTAATAGATGTCAATTTTATAATTTATAAAATCAGAATATTATTTAATAGATGTCAATTTTATAATTTATAATATCAGAATATTATTTGATAGATATCAATTTTACAATTTATAATATCAGAATATTATTTAATAGATGTCAATTTTATAATTTATAATATCAGAAAATTTTATTTAATAGATGTCAATTTTATAATTTATAATTCCAGAATATTATTTAATAGATGTCAATTTTATAATTTATAATATCAGAATATTATTTAATAGATGTCAATTTTATAATTTATAATATCAGAATATTATTTAATAGATGTCAATTTTACAATTTATAATATCAAAATATTATTTAATAGATGTCAATTTTATAATTTATAATATCAGAATATTATTTAATATATGTCAATTTTATAATTTATAATATCAGAATATTATTTAATAGATGTCAATTTTATAATTTATAACATCTGAATATTATTTAATAGATATCAATTTTATAATTTATAATAACAGAATATTATTTAATAGATGTCATTTTTATAATTTATAACATCAGAATATTATTCAATAGATGTCAATTTTACAATTTATAATATCAGAATATTTTTTAATAGATCACAATTTTATAATTTATAATATCAGAATATTATTTAATGTCAATTTTATAATTTATAACATCAGGATATTATTTAATAGATGTCAATTTTATAATTTATAATAACAGAATATTATTTAATAGATGTCAATTTTATAATTTATAATATCAGAATATTATTTAATAGATGTCAATTTTATAATTTATAATATCAGAATATTATTTAATAGATGTCAATTTTACAATTTATAATATCAGAATATTTTTTAATAGATCACAATTTTATAATTTATAATACCAGAATATTATTTAATAGATGTCAATTTTACAATTTATAATATCAGAATATTTTTTAATAGATCACAATTTTATAATTTATAATATCAGAATATTATTTAATGTCAATTTTATGATTTATAACATCAGGATATTATTTAATAGATGTCAATTTTATAATTTATAATAACAGAATATTATTTAATAGATGTCAATTTTATAATTTATAATATCAGAATATTATTTAATAGATGTCAATTTTATAATTTATAATATCAGAATATTATTTAATAGATGTCAATTTTATAATTTATAACATCAGAATATTATTTAATAGATGTCAATTTTATAATTTATAATATCAGAATATTATTTAATAGATCACAATTTTATAATTTATAACATCAGAATATTATTTAATAGAATTCAATTTTATAATTTATAATATCAGAATATTATTTAATAGATGTTAGATTATACCATACGAGTATTAATTAATTCACAGCTCAAGACAAAAGAGAAGAAAGCAAAAATCCAAAATGAATTGAAAAAAAAAGTCAAAATGAGTAAACTTCAACCCAGTCTATCGAAGGCAAGAGGAAGGAGAAAAGGAAAGCAACATACCCAACTGTATCGAGTTGCCAGAGCCAAGTTTCAGGAAAGTGAGTTCTAAGATTAAGAGTTTTAGATGCTGTTGGTCCTGGCACCACATTGTTTTCAGCCATTTTAGGTCCCGGGCCTGAAGCGAATGCGACCATTGGAACCCCTTCCATACCACCATCTAACAATGGAAATAAAAGAGAGTAAAAGAGAGATGCAATCAATAGTTTTTAGATTAGTGCTGGTTCTACATTTCGAAAGGATGCTCAGTAAGTAGATATTACCAAGGCTGTAAATAACATACTAGACATTAATTTGACACCCCTTGATCATTAATGAACTCGACTGCACATGCCTTTATGTCAAGAAATTGTTCCTTTATAGAATAGTTCATTTTAAAGAAAAGGGGTGTTTTTATGTCTGTTAAAGTATTTATAACCTTGTTAATAATACAATCAAGGAATGAAACATCCCAGGAAACTCGAAATTCTAAATTTACCCAATTTTTTCCAAACTCCACAGCCATGTCTCGGGAAAATAATTCCTGATGACATTTTTATTGTTGATGACAACGTTACGTTGAGTAGCAGAGTTAGGTACTCTACGAGATGTTGGTAGAAATTGTCTTGCTATACCTCCACTCAGCGGCATTGGCACTGTCATATAAATATTTCATTTCAATAGTGTACAATAATAATAATAATAATAATAAACCTAGACAAACAAATCTCATCTAAAACTACGCTACTGACCTAGTAACTAGAATCAGATCTGTTAATTCTTTTATTTGAACGACACGTAGCATAATATAAATATAATATAAATATAATATAAATATAATATTAATATAATAAATAATATAAATATAATAAATAATATAAATATAATATAAATATAAAATCTTTGGATGTAAACAAAGTCTATCAATATAGGAATTTGTATAGGAAGTTACAGATGTAACATACATCTATACGATCGATATTCGTTTTGGTTGATTGAATAATACAACAATTTTGTTTAAAAGTTTAAATCGAGATACACTGTTAAAACGAAAGTGTAACTTTACACCTGAACGGATGGCAACTAAACTGCAACTTGTGAAAGTGTTAAGTGATAATTAAACATATTTATTTAACAGTGTAGCTTTGGTGATGTGATAATTGATGTAAATAAACTGATTGGTAATAATAACAGATTGGGCTGTTCATCAATTTTTATCATTTTTTTCATGCATCATAAGGGGTGAGGGGGGGGGGGACATTTTTCACCTCATAGATAGTTTATAGATAGTTTGTAAATAGTTTGTAAATAGTTTATAGATAGTTTAGAGTTAGTTTATAGAATACAATTAATATATTTATTACAGGCGACGTTTCAACTAGGGTTCTCTAGTCAGCAATGATACAGACATGTAAGGAGGGGATAGTATATTATAA